TTGTTGCTGTTTTTGTTGTTGTTGTTGTTGTTGTTGTTGTTGTTGTTGATGAGGCGCGGCGCGCTCCGCTTCAACGCCTGCGAGGTAGGCCGCACTTCCTCCACGCGCGACAGCGGTGCTCGGCGGGCTGGCCTAGCCTCCCGTTCACAGGCGCACTGGCAGGAGGCTCTGCCTCTGTCGCACTCATAGGGCGTTCCGAAGGGGTGCGAGAGAGACAGAGCGACCCTTCGAGATGAGCCTCGCCGTCAAAATGACCCCGTCCGTCGCTACCCCGCGCGGGCGGTCTCCCACCCGCGGGGTAGCGACGACTCGGACTGACTCGCCTTTTCGGCATGTATCGGCGCAACTTTTCCCCGCCCACCTCCAGCGCTGCACCAATCACGGGGGACTCGGGGGGACAAAGCGGCTTCCCGGACAATGCGAGCAGTTTGTGAAACAATTTCGATTTACCCCCAATTAGCGCGTCGCTGGCAGCGATGAGGCAAAATGGCACGATGACTGAAAGTCGTGCGGACGCCCCGCCCCCCGCCCCGCCCCGCCCCGCCCCGCCCCGCCCCGCCCCGCCCCGCCCCGCCCCGCCCCGCCCCGCGACGCAAAACTTACTCTTGTTTGTGGCGACGTCTCGTTTCGACAAGTTCCGTAATTGAGGCCCGCTTGTAAAAGGCGATTCCGAAGAGTCGTTATGCGTCGCGCTGCGTCTCTCTCTCCCTCTCTCTCGCATCCAGGGGCCGAGTCGTACGGGTGCGAGAGAGACGTCGCGAGGCGGGAGAACCGCGCAACTGCGCCGTCGGCGAGGCCAGTTGTGTCGCCGCAGCCGGCGAGGTATTTGGGGAGAGAGAGAGAGAGAGAGAGAGAGAGAGAGAGAGAGAGAGAGAGAGAGAGAGAGAGAGAGAGAGAGAGAGAGAAGGCCGAGAGCGTTGCCATTACCCCGCCAGTCGTTTTGTTTATTCGGGACATGACGACGCCTTTCCGTATCGCGGAGTAAAAAATAAAAAATTAACGACGGTTCTCGTTCCGAGAGCGCTTTTCGTCTGCTGCTCCGCGTACGACTGAACGACGCACAGTGGGCCAGAAGACCGGCGCTGTGAGCCCCAGAGTCGCTAAACGGGACGCGAATCGAGCGTGTGACCCCACCAATGGATTCCTCGTTCGGAGAGCAATCTATTGGTGAGGTCACACGTTAGGTTCGAGTCCCATTTAGCGACTCCGGAACTCAAAACGCATCCGGGGTTTTGGCCGCCTCCACCGGTCCTCTGCGGCCCACTGTGCGACGCTGGCCCTTTTTTTCGCCGTGAAAGTTTTCCGCGCGAATCGCAAATCTCTTTCGTTCACGGCGAGAAAATTAAGCAATCGGCCCATTGTTATTGTGTCTTCGCAATTAGGACGCGACAATGACCATCTTGACGGCGCCGGGGAGCAAAAATGTTGGCGGACCGACCTTCCCCCCCCCCTCTCTTTCTTCCCGCGCTGACACTGGCTGACGGTAAACAAAAGGGGGAGGGGGAGGCATTGTGCTCCCTTGCTGCGCCCCGCCGTCGAAAGTTGGTCGCCGCCGCAAATACGAAGACGATTACCGATTTGTTCCATCAACAGTTTAGTCAAGAAGAGCGGCCAAAAAGTTCCTTCAAAATGTGACCAACTTTTTGACTCTGGATTGGGTGAACGTTGAACGGTTGATTTTAAATGGCCTGAGATGCATGAGAAACTCCGCAGGGAGGATTTTAGTCAGAGTGCAGTTTTGGTGGAGAAGTGCCTATTTCCACGGTCCAAATTGCGATTTCCAGGAATCGCAAAACACGGCGCGCCGATTCCCGCGAACGACAAAACGCGCGACGGTTTCCGCGAACCTCGAAGCTCGTGCCGATAGAGCTGGCCGGCGAATGGGGTCCTAGCGCGGAATGCCTCGCGTGCATTATGCACGGCCTGCCCGCCTCGCCGCCACATCGGCACAAGGCCCAGTTCGAAGACGGACGGACGGACGGACGGACAGACAGACAGACAGACAGACAGGCGGCTGCGTATTCCCCCCGGTGCAGGCCTGCATCTCGTTGGAGGTAATGTCATTGTCCGGCGCGATGGCTTTGGATCAGGCCGGGCGGGGCGGGGCGGGGCGGGGCGGTCGGCCGAGGTCCGCGACGACGAGGCCGTGTCCGAGGCGGCCGAGGCCCCAGCGCTCCCGGAGGGGCAGTTAGGGCGGGGGATGGCCTCGGTGTGGTGAGGCGGACGCGACGCGCAGTGGGCCAGAAGGCCGGCGCCGGCGGCTGAAACTCCAGACGCGTTTTGAGCTCCAGAGTCGCTAAATGGGGCTCGGACCGAACGTGTGACCCCACCAATGGATTGCTCTCCGAACGAGGAATCCATTGGTGGGGCCACACGTTCGGTTCGAGTCCCATTTAGTGACTCTGGAGCTCAAACCGCGTCCAGGATTCTGGCCGCCTCCGCCGGTCTTCTGGCCCACTGTGCGACGCCGAGGCCAGCCTGCCGGCCGGGGCCGAGCCCAGGCCGGTGTTGTGCTGCCTATCTCGCAGGCGTTCATCGTCGGCACTGCGAGGGGAGCGTGTTCCCCCGGTTCCCCCGGTTCCCTCGGTGAGCCCGTGGGCTTAGAGGGAAAACGAACTCTGCGAAAATAATTGTGCGTAGCGAAGGGCGGCGGCGAGAAAAAAAAACTTTAAAAAAAATAGAAAGGACCACGCGTTGTGACGCGAGACGGGTCCGTAAAGAGGAGGGAAACATGCCGCTGTCTTTGGCGGCCAGTCGGCCGAAATGCGTGCAGAGAGAGAGAGAGAGAGAGAGAGAGAGAGAGAGAGAGAGAGAGAGAGAGGTGGGCCGCAAAATATCTCCATTTTTGCACCGCATTGCCGCCGTTCCACACGACAATTAAAAAGGCGACGCGGTTTGAATTTATGGGCGTTCTCCGAAGAGGCCCGCGGCCGCCAGACCGCCAGACCGCCAACCAGGCCGCCAAGGAGGACGACGGCAGCTGCCAGGGGGGCAGCGGGGGCCACCGGGCCGGCAGGCCGGGGGGACCAAAGACCGCCACCGTCTCGGCCGTCTCGGCAGAAAGGAAGAATCTGAATAAAAAGTTCTAATCCGCATAAAATTTCCTGTTGAGAAAGGAAAAGAGCCCGGGCCGGCCGGGGGACGCAGAAAAGGAATGCCGCTGTGGCCTGGGCGGGGCGGGGCGGGGCGGGGCGGGGCGGAGCGGGGTGCGCAGCCACGCTCGCCTCGGCTACCATAAATCTAAAACCGAAGCTCAGCATTAATCATGGTATCGCGGAGAGCCACTTTGCATGTCGTATATCAGACACCACCCGAAGCGGCGACCAGTGCGGAGGGGGGGGGAGGGGTTGGGAAGGGTTAGGGAAGACGGGGTGGAGCGGCGGGCGGCGTGGGATGACATGGGATATGGGGGCAGCCTGGAAAAAGCAGAAGGCGAAGGAGCCGGACTCGAGCAGAGATCGCATGGAGATATCCACATCGACGGCGTAGTGGACTGTAGTCCACTGTGATTGGTGGCCATTTGCACTGAAGAGGTCCTCCGGCTTCACGAGGCCCTGTCGGCGGCCAGAGTGTGTCAGTGAGGCCTGACTGAATGCCGCCTACACTGCCAGTGGGACAGTGGAAGCCAAAACGCAGAGTCGGTAAACGGGACTCGAACCGAACGTGTGACCGCACCAGTGGATTGCCCTCCGAACGAGGAATCCATTGGTGGGGTCACACGCTCGGTTCGAGTCCCATTTAGCGACTCTGGAGCTCGAAACGCGTCCAGAGTCTCGGCCGCCCACGCAGACGGTGGGTTCGAACCGCACCGACAAGCGTCCGTAGGTCGTTGCACGGCCTGTTCACGGACGATCCCGTAAGCCGTCCGGGCTGTAACCCGGCCTCGACTCGCACCGTCCGAATCTGACGGCAGTAAAACGAAGAAGAAGAAGAAGAGAAGAAGCAGGCCGAGTGAGTGGCTGATGCCGTTCACGATACGGTCGCCCAATGAGAGCCAGTGTTGTATCTCGATGAAGCTCCCCACTCGCCGCGCCCTGCGCCGTGCCATTGGCCTGCCCATTGGCTGGCCCAGATGGCCCGCACGCCTTGCAGTGTGCCGACGGACCGACGGCCCAGCCGTGGCTTCTCATTGCATCGCAACCTCGCCTTCCGCTCCAGCAGGCAGCCCAGCCGTAGCGCAAAAATCCCCGCCGGTGAAATAACCGCTCCACTGTTGGAAGTATAATTAGCACTCGCGTGGCAGCGATCCACAGGAAGGTGTTAATAGAATGTACACCACTGGCGGGAGGGACCGGCGGGGACCTGCAGACTGATTCCGTTTTCTCTCCGTCTCTCTCTCTCTCCCGTGCGGACCGCCACGTGAGTGCGAGAGAGACAGAGCGAGGGTGGCTCCGCTAATCTCAGCTTTTCTCGCCGTAAATTCGCTGCGAAATATCCTCTATAATCCGGCACAGCCGTCGGCACCGGCACTTTGCGTTGTCCCACACCTCACCACCTTGCCTCTCTCTCCCTGTCTCTGTCCTTCTCTCTCGCACTCCGAGACTCCCCATCGCGTTATTCTCTCCCTTGTCTCCCCTCGCGCTGCTCATCTGAATCCGCCCTCTAATTTTTTCATAACTTAATAGTCCCTCTCTAAGTTGCAATCCTCTCTACCTGCGGCCCTCCCTCCCTCCCTTCCTCCCTCTCTCCCTCGCGGCCCGCGGAGGGATTTCCATTTTAAGACTTTTTATTTTTATTTTTTGAGAAGGCGGCGTCGCGAGTGCGCCTGCGGACGTGAGGGTAGGCCAGCCCGCGGCGCAGCCGTGTCGCCGGGGCGGGCGTGTTGCCTACCTCGCAGGCGCTAGGCTCCCACTGCCTTGTTGTTGCTGCTGCCTGCTGGGAGACGCAAACTGACTTCTTGTTGTTGTTGCTGCCTGCCGGGCGACGCACACTGACTTCTTGTTGTTGTTGCTGCCTGCCGGGCGACGCACACTGACTTCTTGTTCTTGTTGTTGTTGCAGTTCGGCCGCTGGCGCTGGAGCTGACGGGCGTGGACCAGCACGTGGTGCAGGGCTCCAGCGTGACGCTGCAGTGCGTGGTGTCGGGGGCGCGGCCCTCGGCCACCGTCACGTGGTACAACGGCACGGAGCCGCTGGACGCCAACCGCGTCGAGATCAAGGACACCAAGTCCCTGCAGGTGAGCGCCTCGCAGACTAGGGGGTTGTTCTGTCCTTTTCCGGAGGGGCTCAACCACTAATTTCGGGGCGGGGTGTTGACGTGAATTAAATCGTCCCGTCCCTTCGCTCCGTCACACCAAACCTCTAAGCCCGCGTCCATTTCTCAACCATTTTTTTCATTCACGTTTTTCTTGCTTACGTTTTTTACCACTGTGACTTTATTCGAAATCCCCGGAAATTTTAGTGAAAAATAAATAAAAAGTCACTTTGAGGTTTTTTTGGCTGAGCGATAGCGAAGCCTGTTACTCCAGTGGGGTTGAAAAGTTTTTCCTGTCTGTCGGTCTGTCTGTCTGTCTGTCTGTCTGTCTGTGTGTCTGTGTGTCCGCACTACTCCTCCTGAACGGCTCGGCCGATCTCAATGAGATTTTGCACACTTTTTGGGTATGTCCTCGGCTCGGCACACGCGAAATTTCACTATCCTAGCTCAACTGGTTCAGTTTTTATAGCCGAAAAACACCTAAAAATGGCGAAAAATCGAGTTTTCTGCAGGCTGGTCACCTCTGTCTTGAAGGAGGGGGGTCTGGGGGGCGGAGCCCCCCAGCCTCGACAAGTTAAACAGTAACAAGGGTCAAGGTCGTGTTATCTGTAGATGAAGCAACTCTATCTAGAATGAAGGGGGGTCTGGAGCCCCCAGCATGCAACAAGGTAGAAGTAACCGATGATGGACAAGCCAATGCCTGCCGAAGGCAGGCTAGCGCCGCAGGCCAAGGTAGGTACGCCAGGCGCGGATTGGAGGAACAGGCCGCGAGACATCGCGAAGCCTGTTACGACAAGACGCGGTCTGGCGTAAACCTACCTTGTTTAGAGTGTAGCGCGACTGAGTGGGCCAGTGCGATTGATGGCACACGCATGGCGGCCGCTGTTCCACTGCGATCAGCCGCTAACTAGCGACAAAAGTGGTGGTAATTACGGGCTGCAAAAACACCCCGCCCCACCCCGCCCCCCCCGCCCCGCCCCGCCCCGCCCCGCCCCGCCCCGCCCCGCCCGCCCCGCCACGCCGCGCGCAGTGGAGCAGGCTCCATCCCGAATCCGGCGGACTGGGCCGGTCCGTCCGCGCTCCCCACGCTTTAAAAAGTAACCACGGCGGCAAAGGAGGCAAAAATAAGTTAAATGAGCGTCGCGGGAAACAAATGGTCTGCTTTCGGCTATCTCTTGTTATGGGGTAATTTATCTGAGGCCGGCTGAGTCTTGGTGCCGGCGGCGGGGCCGGCCGGAGCATAGGCCTTGCTGCAGCCCGCCCGGCCGGCCTGCCCCCCTCTGATTGGATCGTAGTTTTTTTGCTTGCCCTTTTCTCTTTTTTTTTTCAACTGATGCGCTGCGGGGTGGGTGGGTAAGGTCATAGCGAGCCGGCCTGCTTTCCTCGGACAGGCCGGTCTTTGTAAACGGGATCCAGCGCGCACGCAAGTTTGCCGCGGAAAACAGAGACAAAGGGTGTTTCTTGCTGCTGGTTTATTTTCCTCTTTTTTAAAAAAAAAATGTTGCGTGTTGATAATCCAGTGTGTGCTCAAACAAGTGTTTGTCCCCTTTTCTGCTGCTTGGACGGAACAGCCTCGGACCAGGGTGGTGGACAATGTAAGTACGGTGCCTGCTTTGAATGTGACACTAGCCACATGATTTAATTTTATTTTTTCTTAGAAAAAAATCTGTTTGTTGTTGTTGTTTTTTTTTCGCCGTGCTCCGAGCAGGGGAATTACTTGGCGGGCATGCCGGAAAGAATGAGTCCGAGGAACGAGCGGGGGGGGGCTCGTTTTCTTGCGTCTCGTCTTAATAGTTTGGGGGCCGCTGTTAAAACACGCACGCTCTGCCGCCGCGGGGCGGGGCGGGGCGGGGCGGGCGGGGGGGCGGGGCGGGGGGGTGGGGCGGGGCGGGGTGGGGCGGTAATCCCGCCGGCAAACATGAATTGGCCTTCATTTTCCGAGTGGCTGAACGACGCGCTGCTGCCATGCGGTGTGGCGGTCGTTCCACGCCGCGTTAGTTTGGCTGGGGTTCCTCCTCGTCCCGTCTCTCTCGCACCCCCACGGACAGCCGCGCGAGTGCGACAGAGACAGAGCGAGTCGAGACGACTCTTCTGACTCACTCGACTGGTCAGGGCCTCCGGTACCGGGAATGAACCAATGAACCGATGTTCCTGGAAGTCCCAGGAGACGGACTCACCGTGCATCCCAGCGTGACCGGCCAACCTCGGCCGTGGCCCTTGCCACCCTCCCCGTCGAGCCATTGATTCGCATTCTTCCCCGGTTTTGTTTGCCCGTTCGCGCCCCGCGCCCTGCCGCGCTGCGCACAGTGGGCCAGAAGACCGGTGGAGGCGGCCAAAACTCTAGACGCGTTTTGAGCTCCAGAGTCGCTAAATAGGGCTCGAACCGAACGTGTGACCCCACCAATGGATTCCTCGTTCGAAGAGCAATCCATTGGTGGGGCCACACGTTCGGTTCGAGCCCTATTTAGCGACTCTGGAGCTCAAAACGCGTCTGGAGTTTTGGCCGCCTCCACCGGTCTTCTGGCCCACTGTGCTGCTCCGCCAAGCTCCGCGCGTTGGCGCGACCGGCCATTGTCGCCACCTCCCCGTCGCTTTCGTCTGGCGCGCCTGAAAAGGCGGACCCGGTGCCCCGGGACGTCGCCGGCGTCGCGAGGTGGCGACGGGTGAATGATACACAACGACGGACGGACAGACAGACAGACAGACAGACACGCCCTTTGTCACTCGGGCCAATCTGCAAATGGATAAGCACGCTAATGTCAAGCGACTCAACTGCAAAGGCAATAGTCAGTCAGTCAGTGACCCGGTCTGTCTGTCTCTCTCGCACGCACCGGGGCTTCCGCTGGAGTGCGAGAGAGACAGAGAGAGCGCGTTGACCGAGCCTCCCCAGATCGCTGCGCCCGACTCGGGCCGCCTGCGCCGTTCTCAAAGTAGTGAGTGCTATAGCGTGTATGGCGAGTCGAGTCCCGAGATGGAAGTCAAGCCAGTCCGGGGCGGCGTGGCGGCGTGGCGGCACTGCACACGTCCTGGGCACCCCCCCCCCTCTTCCCTCTCCAAGACGTGACTGTACTTGGCCACGGCCCGCACCTGCACACACACACACACACACACACACACAGGCGCAGACCACACGACGCACGTGGCGCCAGCCAAGTCATTCAAACACCAAGTCATTGGCAACTCGACGACGAGGAGGACGACGACGACGGAAGTTTCGCGACCCGACACATAGGTGGCGCCGGCGTCGCTTGTCGCTTCACGTATCCGAGTGTGACGCCCACTCCCTCCCTCGCCTCCCCGGGGTGTTTGGCTTTGGCGGTATTCGCGCGCGTGTCGCGCCATTCGGCTGCGGTCCCGGGCAAACAAATTTGGGCGTCCTTGCCGGCCGAGCCCGCCTGCAGCGGGTTTGGGCGACGCACAGTGGGCCAGAAGACCGGTGGAGGCGGCCAAAACTCCCGGACGCGTTTTGAGCTCCAGAGTCGCTGAATGGCACTCGAACCGAGCGTGTGACCCCACCAATGGATTGCTCTCCGAACGAGGAATCCATTGGTGGGGTCACACGTTCGGTTCGAGTCCTGTTTAGCGACTCTGCAGCTCAAAACGCGTTTAGAGTTTCGGCCGCGCCCACCGGTCCAGCCCACTGTGCGACGTCGCCATCCAATCCGTCAATAACAATCTGTAAAGTTGGAATGACGATGTCGCGACCCTCGGCGTAGCGGCGACTTCACTGGCGACTCGCTGCGGTGCGGGAGCCGGGCAGGGTTCCCGGCAGTCCCCCCGGCCGCAGGGCCGTCACTCTGTCTCGCTCGCACTCGCACGGCGGCGCGCAGGCGGTGCGACAGAGACGACGGAGAGCGTTCGGAGTCAGTCTAGGGTCACTCAGGTCGGGCCGGGCGCCGCCGCCACAAGTTGAGTTGTTGGTTCAATAATACTCCAAACTATGCGACAGAGCGGGACGGAGAGGGAGAGTGAGACAGAGAGAGGCATTGTACCGCCTCGATTGTCGGCGTGTCCTTAGCGCAACACGCTGAGGGCGAGGGGGGGGAGGTCGTCCCGGGACCCCTTTAATGTGATTTCCATGTTTGCTGGAGCGCTAGGCATTTCCAGGTGAGCTTTGAAGCGGCAACTTGGGTCCCAGCCTCGCCAGCCTCGCCAGCCGCCCTTAAACGGCATTAGCTCCCGCTGGGCCAGCCTCCCCTCCCTTTGTCCTTCTCTCTCACTCACTCTCCTTACCTCCAGTGCTCCGTCTCTCTTCCCCCTCCCTCGCCTGGGAAGAAAAACAAAACATAACGCAGAGTGCGAACGACAAGCGGGGTTAAGCGCGAACGCCGATAAAAAACGACAAAAGTGCAAAGTCTTTGCTTTTCGTGTGTTTTGAATGTCGCCACACTGTGAGCGAGTCCCTGACCGGCGCCCTGCCCTTGCCTGTTGCAGTCGGACGGCACCCACGACACCGTCAGCGAGCTGGTGTTCGCCGCCACGCGCTACGAGAACGGCGAGTCCCTCACCTGCGAGGCCACCAACGAGGTCCTGCTGCTGCACAGCGAGCCGCCCATGCGCAAGACCGTGGCGCTCGAAGTCATGTGTAAGTACTGCCTGTGTGTGTGTCTGTGGACTCGAACCGAACGTGTGACCCCACCAATGGGTTGCTCTCCGAACGAGGAATCCATTGGTGGGGTCACACGATCGTTTCGAGCCCTGTTTAGCGACTCTGAAGCTCAAAACGCGTCTAGAGTTTTGGCCGCCTCTACCGGTCTTCTGGCCTACTGGGCGTCCGATCCAAGCCGGCGGAATGGTCCTCTCTCGATGGCGGTCTCTGTTTGCTTGCATGCCTGTGCGCCACCTGAACGGGAAAGCGAAGTTTGGTGAACCCTTACCTCGAGTTACACTGTCGCCGCGAAAAGCCCTCGTCAAACAGGGCAGGCAGGCTCCTCCACCGGTAGTAGTGTGCTGCACCTTGTGTGTGCGGAGCGGTGCGGCGCGCGGCGGTGTGCTGAGCGGCCGAGAGACGCGAGGGCTGATCCGGGCTGATCCAGGACGGCGCTGCTTTCGTCGCCCCGCCTCTCTCTCTCTCTCTCTCTCTCTCTCTCTCTCTCTCTCTCTCTCTCTCGCACTGCCGGCGCGTCGCGGAGTGCGAGAGGGACAGAGCCGCGCGGCGACAAGTGCTGCGTTTGATCCGGCAAACATTGCCAGGCGATTGTTTCCATTTCGTCGGGAGCCTCGGGCATTAGAGGCTGATCCGCGCGCCCGTGCGAGAGAGAGAGAGAGAGAGAGAGAGAGAGAGAGAGAGAGAGAGAGAGAGAGAGAGGCGCTGCGGCTTCATCCCGCTTTACTGCCACGGCTTCCTTCTAAAGCACGTATCGCCTAAGTTTGCTCGTTCCGGCGCGATGCCTGCGCGGCCCGCGTTGCCTCGCCTCGCCCCGCGATGCGCCCCGCCACTCCAGACTCCAGTTTTTCCAGGCATATTCCAAGATTGCGGCCCCGTGGCATTAAAAGGCGGGGCCCAAAACGCCGACGGACCGTCAAGGACGCCCAGCCCCGGCAGAGATCGAGAAAAAAAATGCAACACGTGTAATGGATGTAGCGCAAGTTTGCTCACTGCTCGGCCGGACGACCTAACCTGGAAAGAGCGTTCTCCTCCTTTCATTAAACCCTCTCGCTCTTTGCGCGTTTACACGCGATGATGACACTCCGTTTATTGCGTACTCTCGACTGCACCTCGTCACAAGCGTCACGATTTCGTAGGTATGCTGATGGCCCTGCTGGTATACAACTACGCTCCTCCTCTCTTCTCTCCTCTCTCCTCTTCTCCTCTCTCGCTCTCTCTCTCTCTCTCTCTCTCTCCCTCTCTCTCTCTCCTCTCTCTCTCTCTCTCTCTCTCTCTCTCCTCTCTCTCTCTCTCTCCCTCCCAGCCAGGTATTACTCTGGTGCGATGAGGCCCGGCCTGCTTACTCGAGACACCCCATCTGTGCTGGGCCTCGACTCACACACTGTCAAAACGCGTGCGCCACACACACACACACACACACACAGACAGACGGCCCCCGTTGGCGCGTAGCGGTAAAATTGTCTGACGTGTGTAAAGCCGGCTAGAAGGCGTGGGGAAGGACCGAGAGGAAGACAGGTGCTGTTTGGAATCATCCAGCGAACTAAGTCAGACAGTGGCGTGAAAGCAGAAAAAGAGTGGTCATTTAAGACAGAGAAGAGAGATGAATTCACGTGTGAAAAAAATCGAACCGAAATTTACAGGTTTGGAGTGATAGTAACAAAAATCTCATTCAACGAACGTTAATGAAAGCAGATGATACTCGTTTGGTTTTCTGATACGGGGTAGTACGCGGGATCATTGCAAAGATAGTATTTAAAATTGTGTATGAAACAAAATACACAGACCCGAGTGAGCTGGCCGGTGTTGGTACTAGCCGTGCCGAGCTGTGGCTTGCCCCGCACGCCGCCGAGCCCAGCGAGCCCCCAGGCCGGGGCCAAATCGGGAGGCTTTTGCGCGATATCCGCGCCGGGCGGGCGGGGAGGGATTGTCAAGCGAGGAGGAGGTGCCATTGTTGACCCCCGGGTGCCGCTGGGCTGTACCGGGGAGGGATTGTCAAATTCCGCGCAGGCTGCGCCTCATTGCAAGCCACACGCACCAGCCCGCCCCGGCCGCCAGCCCCTATTATATTGTTAGGATACGCGCTTGGTTTCTGGACTCGAGAGTAAAAGCACGCTGACACCTTCATTTGTGTATAGTAGTTTTAAGTATGTTTCAAGTGTGAAGGTATCATCTGCTAAAAAAGGGGGATGAATCGAGGATAAAACGGCAACGCATCGGCGGTTCGCGCGGCTAGCAGGCGCACTTTGTTGTCGGGAACAGGTGGTGGGCCTCTCCGGGAGAAGGTTTGAATGGTCGCGGGAAGGAAAAGGTGATGGCTCTGGATCGCTCTGGATGGCGCTATAAAACGTCGGGCCTCGGTCTCGGCCGGGGTCTCGGTGGGCAGCGAGCTTAGCGCAAGCTGGGGCACTGCTTGCAGTGGGCCAGGTTGCCGCCGCGCTGCCAGGCCGCGCTAAAGACGTGTTGCGTTATGGCAGTGTATCGTGGCCCAGCACGGCCGCCCCGTAAATCCCGTCCACACCTGTCGTCCCGTCTCTCTCTCTCTCTCGCACTCACGGGGCTGCCCGCCGGCCGCAGGGGGTGCGAGAGAGACGGAGGATGCTTGAATTTATCGGCAGGTTCGGGCCGCGTGCGTGATTCCCGTGCTTGCGAGGATTTAGAAAACAGGATTTATTTTTGGCGCGCCGCCACCGCCTGTTCTAATTGCCGTCCAGTGCAGCCAACTTCGCCGATACAGGGATTCGGCCCCGGTGCCTCCAGGCTCCAGGCTGCTTGGCAGTCAAGCGAGGAGACCGCCGACGTCGTCCCACTGGAAATCAAACTGCGCCATGCTTCCTTCCATCGCCGCGTCGCTCTGTCTCTCTCGCACCCTGCAGGATGCCCCACGAGTGCGAGAGAGACAGAGCCGACGTACGCGGGGCTCGGCGGGACATTAAACGTCGATTACCGACCACGGCGCGGCGCGTCGCTCCGTCTCTCTCGCACGCGCGGGGCTCTTGGCGGGGCTCTCCGCTTGTGTGCGAGAGAGACGGACCGGCCGGCCCCTCGGCTCTCGCAATTCGTTCGAAGGAGAAATGGGCGTCAGCGGTGACGGCGAGAGTTTTCCGGAAAAAGCAGGGAAACTCGGTGCGAGCGGGGCGCGTACTCGAACGCCGCCGGGCGTCGGGAAAAACGAAAAACGGAAAACCGCGGCTGGAGTCGAACTCCGGTCCCAGGGCTTGTTGGGTCGCCTCTCCGCCGCGCCGATTTCCCGCCGGGCCGCACTTCGAACTCGGTACTTGGTGGCGGCGAAGGTCCCCGCCGACCAGCCAGCCGCTGGCCTCAATCAATTTCAAAGCCATTCGCCGAGGGTTTTTTTGTGTTTTGGAGGTTGGCTTCGTGGAACGCCGCGTCCTTGGCTACCTCGCCGCGCTGCGACCGCGCCGCGGCTGCCGCTTGGCGCCCCGAACAAGAGTTGAGCGTCACCAAGCCAAGCGGCCTTATCTCGCAGCCACACATGTTATTTCGCTATCTCTGTCTCTCTGTCTCTCTCCCCCTGCGGCGCCGCCCCCTCCCCCCCCCCCGCCCGGCCCCCTGCTTCTTATCCAATGAGCGCCAAGGCGTAGGACATCCGATATAAGTTGCCTTTGATGGGGGGTCCCCCAGGATAAGAATCGCTACCCGTGTCGTCCCAGGCCCAGGCCCAGGCCGAGCAGGCGGTGTGCGTGGCCAGGCTCGCAAACTTTGCATCCGTCTCTCTCTCTCTCTCTCTCTCTCTCTCTCTCTCTCTCTCTCTCTCTCTCTCCTCTCTCTCTCTCTCTCTCTCTCCCTCTCTCTCTCGCTCTCTTTTTCCCTCTCGCCGTTTCCCCCGCGATCTCTGCCCGGAATGAGGGCCGCTTTCGAACGCGGTGCGCGTGATTTATACCTCCAAGGAGTTGGCGGGGCCGCGTGCGAGAGAGACGGAGAGAGGGAAACGCGGCGAGAGGGAGAGAGAGAGACGCCAGGTGCAAGCAGCTCGCGGCGGGGCCGCCATGAGGCCACCGCCAGCAACGCCCCGGGAATGCGACTCAGCGGCACCTGCGTTTTGAACGGCAGAGCGAGGGTTGTCTTCGTCGCTCTGTCCCTCTCGCACCCATGCGGCGTCCTGTGTGGGTGCGAGAGAGACAGACCGGACCCCCGGATTCAGCTCGCTGCCCAAAATATCCTTTGGCCGCACGGCGGCACTGAGCACGCCGGGCAGGGCGACGGCAAACTACCCGGAACGGATTGATTTCTATTTCACAGCGTAGTCGTCCCGTTAAACAATTTATTTCAAGGAGCTGCCGGGTCCTGCCAGGAGCCCCCGTGTCCTGGCCCGGCGTGTCAGTGCCAGCAGTCGAAACTTTGCCCGGTCTTCCGAATTAGAGATCCCTGGGCCGAGGCCGAGCGAGGCAGGTCGGGGAGGTACTGTCTTGGACCGTTTTCTGCGCGGGGAACGCGGGGGCCATTAGATTGGGGTGCCGCCCTCCCCACACCACGCCGTGCGGAGTATTCTTGGCCCTGGTTTGGGTTCCAGCTCCACATCCTCCGTCCCCCGGGCCCCCCCGGCCCCCCAGGTCCCCCCAGCCCCCCCGGATCCCCACTCCGATTGGTTCAGCCCTTTGACACGGGCGAACAACCACAGCGATATATTTGGGTGGGCGCTCGGAGCGCATCCCAGCGTGGAGGAGGGGCTTCAACCGTTACAGCTGGTTCCGGTAGCGGGCAGTGTCTCGCGGCTCCCTGCCTTCTTTCCCGCGCCGCCGCCCCCCCCGCCGCCCCCGCCGCCCCCGCCCCACCGGCCAGCACCCCATCCCCACCTCGTCCGCGACTGACTCTGAGTAGGCCTCCCCGCCTTTTTATGCCTTTTTAATAAGAGCTCTCGGAGTTCGTCGTTATAGTAAATATTTTTATTATGCTTCAATTTTTTTTATATATAAAGTCTTTTCCCTCTCCTCCGCGCCCCTCTCCGCAGCACAGTG